ATGGTGATTGAACTGTACATGGCGTCGAGAAGAATGTGTGGGTTGACGCTAGTTCTTTGGCAATTGGTGCAGTTGTTCAAGTTGGTAAAACTACTGTAGAAGTTGCAACATAGCTACGAAAAGAAATGTCTGAGGATCACATAAACATGGCGGAGCTGGATGCTGTAATGCAAGGAATGAATATGGCTTTGTTGTGGAAATTAAAGAAAGTAACTATCTTCTTAGATTCCGTGACTGTGTTCCACTGGGTCTCTGACGCTCTCACTGGTAAGTCAAGATTGAAATCAAAAGCAATGGGCGAAATATTGATTCGAAGAAGATTAAGCGTTCTGCAATAATGTATTGAAGAATATGGTGTTAATGTAAATGTAAAACTTGTTCCTTCAATGGGCAACTTAGCTGACGCATTGAAGAAGTAGATGGTTGAATAAATTGACATAGGTTGAGCATTCGATTAATTCTTTTGGAGTAGTAGTTGTAGAGGCTGAATCCATTTCTAGCATACATAAGAGAACTGGACACTTTAGATTGAATTGAACTCTAAACTTTATTCATAAAGTAATTTCAACCGCTAACGAAAATGACGTTAGAGAGGTGATTAAAAATTGCAAACCATGTCAGTCAATAGATCCAGCACCTGTACAATGGGAGAAAGGAAAATTGAGCGTTAAAGAAAGTTGGGAAAGAGTGCTCATGGTTATCACACATTTTGGCACAGAAAATTTTTTAACTCTAATTGATTGCGGATCTTTAAGATACGCACTGTAGCGACAACTTTCAAGTTCATACGAAAGTATTGCCACTACTCGAATACTCCGTCTTATCTTCTGTGAGAGAGGAGCGCTATCTAAAATTTTGACAGATAACGAAGTAACTTTTAAAACTGAGGAGTTGAGAAGTTTTTTTGATGGTTAAGGAGTGCGCATTAGGTTTCGAGCTGCTTGTTATCCCAAAGGTAATGAAATTGTGGAAAGAAATCATCGTACAAAAGAATCGCAGAAAGACAAAAAAATGTCAATACCGGAAGCAGTATATTGGTGCAACGTCTGAGCCAACAAAAAAATCCAAGCCCGATGGAGAAAATATACAGGTATCGAAGTAATGCGAAAGGATTGAAAAAAGATAATCTTTCGGTAAAAGCTGACACAAATGAAGTGTTTAAAAATGGTGATAATGTTTGGTTGAAACCGCCAAATGCAAATTGCCATACCAAGTGGAAGCCAGTAAAACTAACGGGAAATATTTAGAAGATTGGTATTTGTAAGATGGGTTGAATTCAGGTTAAGAAAAATTAGTTATTTGGATGTAAAACTAGTTTTATTTCGAGTAAGAAAATTACAGTATATCGATGTTTATTGCCATTTTTTGCCGTAGCAAGGCTTAATATAATTTGGACATCTTTAAAGGAAAAGGGCATTTTTCAATGTCTAGTAAATTGGCCTATAAGTTCCTGAAAACTGTAAAATTTTATATAAAAAGACCACTGTGTGTTCCCAAACCATGATCAACCCTAAACTTATGTCCCCAGAAAACTTTTTTAGGGGATGATAGCCCATATATAGTTGAACATTTAGATATAAATTTGAAAATCAAACTATTACGTCCGAGAAAGATATTTTGATTTTAAATTTGGAAGCTAATACCCAGCTAACACTAAACGTTCAACGAACGTTGCAAACGTTCAAGAACGATCTATGAACGTTCATAGAACGTGCTTGAACGTTCGCAACGTTTGTCAAACGTACTTGAATGTTTAGTGTTAGCTGGGTAGGCTTAAAAAATTGCAAAATGACAGGGGATTTTGCATTTTTACACCATTTATTAAACTTTTTTAAAAGTCATTTCAAAGTTGTTACAACAAAAGAAATATTCTTATGTATATAAAACAACATTTCTGAATAAAAAATATTACATCGGGAAATTCTTAAAGATTACAGTATTCTTAATTTTGGTTTAAAAAAGACCCTTTCAACTAAAATGAATGCTTGCTGTTGAGGTCTACAACACAATTCAGAATGCTTTTTTTCACATTCTGGATGACTTGGATCACGTTTGTATCGTTGCCAATGTACATTGAAGTTGTGATGCAAAGATTCTGTGGCCTGTTCAGAAAATACTCCAAAGCTTGACTTTTAGCGGTCAATAAAATGCTTCACATGAAAAAAGACTGCATGCACCTTTAGAGTAATGGAGGTGTTTGGTAACTTCAAGAAGGAACTCTGGAACTCCTTGATCTTGTCTGCAAAGTTGGGAGAAATATTATTTCCAAAGCAAGAATTCACAACCCTTTCAAAATGAATATGAAGAGCAGCAGGCCATTAATTGGCATCAGGCTATGTTTGAAACAAGTTTTTTTAGAGATGATTTACTATTCCAAGAAGAAAATGTAGCTCCATTGGATGGATAAAGTCTAATAAGAATGTTTATTTGTCCAAGCAAACAATTGGTTTGTGAACAACATTGTTGAACTCTTTTGCTCTTCTCAAAATTGGCCCACTCCTTTGAAATGCATTAAAGTCAACTTGAATAAAACCAAATGTTCTGGGTTTCCTGCAGATGTTAAGATTTTTTGAATCTGCATCACAACATGTACAAAGGTAAGCACTGACATGAAACTGAAGTCTAGTTATGATATTCGCTACTTTCATGTCACATGAAACAACAAAAGAAAATTTTTGCAACTGGAGCGAATTCAAAACGCTTTTCAAGTTTTCATAACTCTCTGGTAGGTTTTCAGAAACAGCAATTAATAACTGGCGCTTCACACCCGTGTTTTTTGCAAAACGCTTTGAGGGAGGAGAAGAATCCTCTTTGTTTTCTTCAATAACTCCTAAAGATACTTTCAAAAAGCCACCTCCACCATCAGCTTCCACTTTGAACAATAATTTGTTGAGGTTGTTTGATAGCAGTAGATTTAATATGGCTTTTAAAAATGTTCTGTCATTGGTTGTTATTGCCGTATAAATGTTTGGTCTGTAACTTTTGTTCAAAGGTTTTAATTTTATATTAGCATAGTCGCTTAAATCAAGGACCTATTATATTTTGTACACAGTATTGAGTAAGGTTTATTGAGATGTAAATACGATTCTGCTACGATTCTGCTTCGAAAAGACTTGTTTAACCTTTAGCGCATTTATTTTTCTGCAGCGGGTGTTTGTACCTATCAGTAATATCTTATTATTCACAGAGTATTTTTAGGTTTAATTTGACTTTAATTAACTTTTTTATCATACAAATCTCTTCCATATCTATAAAAGTTTGAGTTTTCTACAATATTGAAATTGCCTCATAGGAAGGTATAAATACTTATGTGACAATTTCAAAAAAATTTTTCTTTTCTCAGATCATTTGGAGAGTAGATGGTTGAAAATTTTTTTTTTTTTTTTGTCTATTTGTTTTACTAGTAAAGTTTTTCCTGTTTTTTGTCACTATTGTAACTTTCCCCATATTTTGATTTTGTTATCAATTCAGTTTTTTGAAATCAATTGATATCGCATTCAGCATTTTGTAGACTATTTTGTTTATATTTATATTATTTATATCATGCGTTTATAATTTTTATTTTTTTTTTATTTTTCCAGTTTTACAATTTTATTTTTTTCAAGTTTTATATTCCTATTTTGTTTTTTTAAATTTTATACTTTTGTTTTGTTTTAGGTTTTGCAAGATTGGATTTAAACAAAAGCAGTTAGAAGAAGAGGTGCTATACGTAGTTTCAGGAGATAAAAGTGCTATCCTTTAAATATGCTATCTTTTAAATGTCAAGATACTATCTTTTGAATATGCTTTTTCAATGCTGTTGGGCTAAATGAGGAATGAGGTTGACCCAACTACAAATTTAATGTAACTGCACCCACTAACAAAAAATGCAGTTGGCGCAACTACAAAAAAACAAAGCTTCTTACTCCGCATATGGCCCTTCAAAGTTTTCGAGTCTGAATCATTGCAATATTTTAATAAAGGTCCCTTTTCATTTATTTAGAAAACTTTTAATTCGCTTTAAATTTATTTATTTGTTAGTTGAAATAAAATTATTTCTTTTTAAATTTTATTTCTTATCAGTTTTTGATAATGATAATGTTTATTAAAATCTCTTCATGTGAAATCCGTTTCTGTGAATATTAACTCGCGTTGATATCCCGTCGTGTTAGTATTAAATCGCTTCATCAAGTTTGAACTTTGAACGGTGTTAAAAAGTTTGTTGATAAAACAAATATGGTTCTTATGTCTCAAAAAAGTATTTGCGTCGGACAATTTTTTTATAAAGATAGCAATAACAATTAAGTTGTTCTATTATTACAGAGTAGCCTCAAACAATTTTTATTAGTTTTAACAAGGGGTAAAAAACAAATAATCTTTTAAGTCATATTTATTAATTTTATAAAAAATATTTTTCTATAACGCAATACAAATTAATAAAAAGCATAAAAATACAAATTTTTATGCTTTTTTAGTAGATAAAACTTTGTTAACTTGCTTATCTTTAAAACAAAACCACGTTTTCTATTACTCTTTTTATTGCATTTTACCACCTTGAAGCATTTTAAAAGGTAACGTTTTTCTTAAAGTCAGTTTTAAATCGTTCCACAAATCGTTCCACCCGTTCCACTTGTTTAACCAATCATGCTTTTGTTTTATTGTTTTTAAAACTTCATGTTCACTATTAAGGAACTGAATTTACTGAAGCTCATTTGTTTATTGAAGTTTGAAGCTACTGCATAAATGTTGTTCGATTTTAAAAAATTAGAACTATTTAAATATGTTTTTAAAATACTTAGGTTAAAGCATTATTTTTTTATAAGAAAAAAATTATATTTTACTTTTATTTTGTTTTCTGTTGTTGTTGTTGTTGTTGTTCTAATTTAAGCAATGAAAATTGTAGGAAAAAAAACTGCTCAACATTTTAAGCGAGTCATGTTTAAGATATTTTTCATTATTTGTAATATATTTATTTTATTTATAAAAATGTGTTTTATTTACAATCAAATATTAAATTTTGTGATATTTTTATTTAATTCTTCTATTGCGTTTAAATATTCAGACTAATATAAATATTATGATGAAAACTCAACTACTGATTGGATTTGCTCTAGTGGTTGTTTCTCAATGTATGATCATAAAGTACAAAAAATGTTCATCACCAGCATCAAGTGAGAATTTATTTAGTTTTAAAAAAAATATTATTGCGTGCAGTTAATGCTACACTTTTTGTAAAAATTAAAATATTTGTTTATGTAGGTGCCGTTGTTGGCGATGTTGTAATATCTCCATGCGATAATCAACCATGTCAATTTATAAGGGGTGGAAACGCGAACATTCAAATTCATTTTCAGGCCAAAAATGATAATTCCAACATTACCACTATAGTTAAAGGCAAAATTGGTCCACTTTGGGTTCCCTTTCCCCTATCTCAACCAGACGGATGCCTCAATGACGGAATAATTTGTCCCGTAAAAACCGACCAACAATACGTTTATTCGTATGATTTACCTATTTCCAAGTCGTATCCGGCGGTATGTTGTTTGATAATTGGGTTTTTATTTGTAAACTTTTTTTATTAAAAAAATTAAATTTAATTTTTAAGTTTTAAACTTTGTTTTAGATTTCCGTCGTAGTAAGCTGGGAGTTGCAAGATGAAAACGGTAATGATCTGGTATGCATCCAATTTCCAATAAAACTTGTATAAAACTTCAAATTGTTAAAAGTATTTTATCTTTAAGTTAATTATTGAAATAAATTATTTCTCGAGGTATAATTATGTTGTTGTCTTTTTTATCAAAAGGCTGAAATTTATGTTGTACAAATATCTGTGTATAAGACAACATTTTTCAAAGAATTTTAGGAGATAGCTGTTGTATTGAACAACAGCTATCTCCTGAAATCCTTGTGTTATTTAGAAACTACAATTTATTTTAATGCCAATTTTTTGTTTAACAATTTTAAATTTTATATTTCTAAAACAAGTTTAAAAATCAACACCCCCTTCTTAACACCCCTCTAATAACACATCTTCCATTCTTTGACTGACTTTCTACATAGTGCATTATTGGCATTTAATTTTTTTAATTCTGGACGTAAGATTACAAAAACAAACGTTTTGAATTTTACTGCTAACAAGGTCACTAGTCAGGAGCCATTCCCCATAATGTACGAACTCACTGATTAATAAAAATTTTAATGCTTGCAGTAGGATAAAGGAAGTAAGTTGCAGAGTTATTTTACATAAAATCTCGTTTTACGAGAAAACAAAGAATTTTTTTAACATTAAAAAAAATCGGTGCAAGATAGTATTGTCTTATACATACATACATACATACATACATACATACATACATACATACATACATACATACATACATACATACATACATACATACATACAAAAACTATTCGATGCCGATCTAAACTTACAAAAATTTTTTAGTGGTATAATATTTTACCAGAAAAATTGTAGGAAAGTAATTTAATTTTGGTTGAGTGTGACGTTTTAGCCCGGTCGAATATTTTTGGTCCTGTTATGAATTAAAATATTCACATATTTGTGGCGAAAAATTTTCATTTTTTTTGAATCTGCATGGCATGTTTAATAAAAGTGATGAGCTTATATAAACAGAGAAAAAAAGACGTCATTCTTGCTTTTGTTGAGGTAATCCTCTATTTGTCTATAAATCAAACAAGTTCTATTTTTTTTATTTTTGCAATCTTTATTTACGTCATAATGTAGGTATTAATAAAAAAACTTATATTTGATGTTATTTTTTTTTAATAAATATCTTTAAATGGTTTGAGTTGTGTAACAAACAGGTTTGACGTTGTAGAAAAATGTTTTTGAATTTGACAAAAAAATTGGATTCGATTTAGAATGTTTAGCGAAAATTTATAAACCTCATTATATAACTTTTTTTATTTGAATCATAAATAATTGATTAATGTTTTTAGTTTCATTCAGTATGTGTAAAACATTCATAATCATTTAAAACTTAAAAAGGTGTTAAAATTATGAAATTTTTTAAAAGCATTATGTTCCCTGGAATAATTTTTTTTTTTTTTTTTTTTTTTTTGTGCGTGTTTTTTATTTAGCCGTTAAAGAAAGTTTTCATTGCATATACATATATCGAAATTAATCGCTGGAGCACTATGAAGGCACATTTTGCCGCAACGCCAAGAAGTTGCATAAGGTCTTTTAGAGCTAATTTAAAGCAAGATAATAAAACCATTGTCTTCTGTAGTGATGGATTCAGGATTTGAATCCATCACTTAACAAATTGAGGGGGGGGGGGGGTTTAAACTATATATATGGTCATAATTTTTGAACGCTGAGAGATAATACTATGAAACTTAAAATTTATCGATAAATATATGTCTAGTTAAGAATAGTACAATAAATATATGTCTAGTTCTACCCCCTCCCCTTTCCTCATGTTTGAGGGGAGGGGGTAGAAGTTAACAACTAACGTAAAAGTAAAAGTTAGTTGTTAACTTTTACGTTAACAATTTTGTAAAAAAAAGTTTCATTGACAAAAAAAAAAAATAAAAGAAAACTTAGATTAAAAAAATTTTGTTTTTGGTATATGTTGGTATATGTTAGCACGCAGTTTATAAAAAAATGCAGTTAATAACGGTTTACGTTTTTAATGGAGAGGCCGTTAAAAGTTTTAAACTTTTAATACAGGGATCGATTGGAAGTCGATTAAACAACATATATTATTCTAATCCTGATAACTACGTATTTTATAAAATCTTATGCGATTTATAATTTTTGATAAATGAAATTATACTTTAAATTATACTTATACAATATAAATTATAAATTATACTTATACAATACCCCCGTTAAAATCTTTTCAAAAGTTTTGTTTTACCTCTCACCAGTTTGAATTGTAACACTGAATAAAATGCAATTTGATTGGTACTTTTTAGTAACACTGTATAACTTAATAATGTTTAAAAGAAGAACGCGATTATTTATTATTAACGACGAGTCTAATTGAATCGGTCATTTGAAAATCGACATAAGTCGAAAATACTGAATTTTGGTAAGTTAAAAAATACTTTTGCATTTTAAAACAATATAAGTCATCGACCTAAATGTTTTTTCAAAGAAATATAAAATGAAGCTACTGCATAAAAACCATACAATATAGCTGACTAACGTCGTTGTTACAGTCAACCAAGTATTTAACTATTACGATTTTTAAAATGTAATAATTTAACTGCGTTTAGAAATTGACCAATTCAGTTATAAAACACGGTTCATAAAACTTTGTTTGTATGTTATACTTTTTAATATTCGTGCAAACTATAAAAAAAAACAATTTGATTTTTTTTTAAAAATGGAGGTTTTTATGATGAAATTGTTTGTTTTTAAATTATGTTTCTGCATCAACATATTGTAGTAAGATTCGATTTGGATTAATTTTTCTTTATTCTATTTGGTTTGCTTGACGTTTTAGTTTTTTTTGAAAGAAGTAGTATCTATTGATTTGTGTGTGTGAATTGGGAGAAACAGATGTACACTGCAGTAAATCTGTAAGAAGTTAAAATTTAATGGCGGGTTAATTACCTTGCTTCATGAATCCGAAACTCAGTTAACATTAATTTTGAATTCTTATGTTTCTTCATTAAGCAGATGCTGATTTCTTTGTTATTATTGTTTTGTATTTCTATATAAATTTTGTTGTTTTAAAACTTTAACTTACAATTCTAAATTATTGTTATAGTTTTCAAAGTAAATTTTATTTTATCCAAAGAAAAGTCTCATTATTATTATTAAATCATTATTATTATTAAATCTCTAATATTAAAAAAGTCTCATTATTATTATTATCTCATTATTAAATGTTTTTATTTTCTTAAAATTAGTTACTAGCCGTTACCATGAACTTTTGCTTTCTGGTTTTATTTTATTTTGTGGCTATCTCTCAATGCATGATAATAAAGTACAAAAAATGCACGTCTCCAGCATCAAGTAAGCATATGTTTAAATTTATATATATATTGCGTGCTTTTGGTAACAAACATTAATAAGTTAAAACTTTTTTAAATAGGTGCTGTTATTGGCGATGTTATAATTACCCCATGTGATAGCCTTCCTTGTTCGTTTAAACGAGGTGGGAGTGGTAACATAAAAATTAATTTTCAAGCAACAAAAAATAATTCTGAGCTTACCTCAGTAGTAAAAGGAAAAATTGGTCCACTATGGGTTCCATTTCCACTATCTCAACCAGATGCATGTCAAAATGAAGGAATTACTTGTCCAATAAAAGATGGGCAATCATACCTTTTTTCGTATGATTTACCAATTTCAACAACATATCCTGCGGTAAAAAAAATTTAAAATGCAATACAAACTTATTATCTTTATTATTTCATTTCATCTCTTTATTTTGTGTTTCTTTTATGAAAAACCTTTATCTTTCAAAAAACTCTTTATTTTTTTCATTTCACCAAAAACCTTATGTTAATTTTTTTAATAACAATATTTTTTTATTATTTTTAAATATCTAATAGAATGATAAATTTTATTACAAACATTAAAATTTGTTACAGATCTCATTAGTCGTTAGCTGGGAGATACAAGACGAAAATGGCAACGATGTGGTGTGCATTCAGCTTCCGATAAAACTCGAATAAAACTTCAAAAAATAGAAAAACAATTTACTTTATTAATTTAGTTAACAATATTGATTCTGTAAAAAAAAAGCAGAATTAAATATGTCAAAAAAAAGCAGAAAAATTTGTTTTTTCGGCTCAAGTTAGAGTTTGCAGAGCGCGCGGCATTATTTTAAGAATAACAATTATAAATGAGTTAAAAGTATAGTGAATTTCAAAATTTGTTTTTAGGGCATCTTGATGATATCTTAAAAAAATGTTTGATTAGCTAGTTATTTTTAAATTGATGTTTACTAAAAGCAGATTTCCACTGAGCAAAATATTTTGTGCAACGCGAACTTCTTTTGCTTATTTTAGGCCTTGTCAGAATTAAATTTCATAACAAAAACTTGGCGGGAATTTTTAAATCACGTTGATTAGCAAAAAGTCGTTGTTGAGTAGAAGAAAAAACAATTACTTTAAAAATGTTGCAAATAAAACAAGAAAAAGAAAAAAATAATACACAATTACGGTTAAGGAAAGCTCATGGTGAACGCTTACATAAATAAAAAATTCATTTATCATGAGACAAATTTAAATAATTCACTAGAAGGAGATCTAGGAACAGGCAATTAGGCTTAGTAAATAGAAATTATTCAATTTGTTAAAATGTTCGTAAAAACTGTTCTGTAAAGTTTTTGAAATTAAAGTATTGATTCTAAAACTCTTGATAAGAAACATAGACATTTAGATTATGACAATTCAAACGTTATTTTGCATAAATTCTGTTATCTTGTATAATTTCTAAAAGATTTCGTATAATATCTTTATAATTGTATAAAACTATATAACTGTATAATTGTAATTATATAATTGTATAATTGTATAAACGTTATTTTGTATATTTTCTTTCTTTTTTTTTTTTTTTGTATAATTTCAAAATCGTACCTTCAAATTGTATCTTTATAATTGAATTGTATATAATTCTATAGAATTATTTATATAGAATTAAAAAAAAATTGTATATAACCAGGGCCGCCGAGAGGTGGGGGTGGGGAGCGAGGGACAGATTGTCCCGGGCGGCAGATATCCAAGGGGCGCCAAATGAAATGTAGGTACCTAAAAAAATAAGATCCTTCATAAATAATATAGGGAAAATTCAAATGTGTTTTGGTCTAGTGATTTTAGATACACTAAAGATTAACTTTATAAAGACAAACTGCATCTTAAGCATTGTTTTTTTACAAGAATGAACTGCAAAGGCAGAGCTTTTATTCATGAAGATAAACTTCAGGTTACAACTGTTCACAGTTGCAGTTCAAGAGAAACAGACTTTGAAGTGCTGCTTGCTAAAAGTAACATGAAGAAAAAGCAGAAGCAACATCTGAAGACCTGCGCTTAATTTTTCAAAACACTTTGAGCGAGTTTCCTGCAGTTGTTCCTGAATCTGTTAGTTTTCGTCAAATTATCCCAAGTCTTCAAAAAAGGAGAAGGCTAAATGAGCCTTTAAACCCAAAATCACCTAATGAAGCTGCTGAAGTTCTGAACGACAAAGAATGCCATCACTATGGAGACATTTTCTTGGGATTAGTTCCAGAACAGGATAACGTAGCATTGCTGTTTGGGCATATGCTAGTCATCAACAAGGCAAAATTGGCCAAAGTGTGTTTTGTTGATGGAACATTTAAGTATTTATACGTATGCATTTAACTTTTTCAAAAAAATATATGTTCTAGAAGAACATATATTTATCTAGGGGGCTGTCGATTAATTACATCAACAAACTTTTGGCTATTTTTACATTAACCCCTCCCTCATGTCAACAATTTGTTAAATTTCCAGAGACACTTCTTTCCCCTATAAAATTACGTCAATTTTTGATAACCCTCCTTCCCTAAATAAAGACGCTGCGATAAAAACGCAGGCAAATTTTTCTTTTTTTGAGTAACGAAATTAAAAAAATAAAGCAACATTGTTGATGTCAACTTTACTTGACCTCCTCCCCTCACCCTTAGCAAAAATTTTCAAAAAAATTTAGACACCCCCTTCCTTATTTTTTTAACGTTATTAATGGACAGCCCGTAGACGAAAAAAGTGATATATTAAAAACGTTAGGTAGAACACTTTCATTTACAGTTGTAAATTATAGTTACATTTATTGTACTTCCAGCATGACACCACGCATGGAGGAAAGTAAGTGGTATCAGCTCTTGATATTTTATGTTGAGTATTCAGCAGTACTTGAAGATCCAATTCCAGATGAGGATCAGATGAATTTTGATCCTGATAACCCTCACCTTTGGGGAATATCTGTTCCAGCTGTATGCGCTTTAATGACATCAAAATCCGAGGCTCTATACAAGCTTGTTTTTTCCAAAATAAAAGAAGTTTTAGATTTATCTCCAGTCAACATTATGTCAGATTTTGAACGAGGACTACAGAATGCTTTAAAAACAACTTGGAGTGAAAGCTTGGTGAATGGTTGCAGGTATAATTTATTACTTTGTTATAACTTAGTTTCCAGTTTCTAAGTTATCCAAGTTTTTCAGAGTTTGTTATCAATTAATGATCTCCTTTAAACCCTTATCTTTAGGTTTCATTTCGAAAATGCAATCACCAAGCAATTAGCAATTCTTGGTCTTCAGAGGGAATACCGCCACCAAATTCAAGTAAAGAAGTGGGCACGAAAAGTTTCAGCACTTTGTCTCCTTCCTGCAAACAAGATCTTGGTTGCTTGGGGATCTCGAATTATTGAGATTGCACAATTTAGTCGCGAAATCAAAATCTAACTACTTGCTTTTAAAAGATATTTTGAGAGTTATTGGCTCAATATAGTGACCCCAGAAGGATTCAGTGTTTATGGCTTGAACCACAAAACCAATAACAATGCAGAGAGTCTCAATAGACGTTTGAAATCAAACATGGGTGATCGACATAGAGGATTTTGGCAGTTTATGAAATTGCTTAACCAGTATGTAATAGTCCATACAATTCAAGAGCTTCAACAGCTTCTCTGCAATCAGCCAGTCCGCCGTGACCTACGCAATTATGGTGCAATTGAAAAAATGTATTATTTTGAGAAAAAACTTCGAGACGGAGTTTGGACAACTGAGAGATTCCTATCAACAGTATCATATCTCTTTCAAAACTTCAAAGTAGTGTAAGATAATTTTCCAAGTTTTTGTATAACACTTCTTATTTATTAACCTTTATCAATTTTTTACCAAACGAATTAGTTTAACTTTATTTGATGATATATTATTTTCCATGAAATATGGAAAATTGTATTTGAAGTTTTTAAATATTTTTAGTGCTTTTGATGAAAACTCAATGAAGGTTGGTGAGAGTCTTCCTTTGCCAACTTCTACTTTAACAGAGTCACCGAAGTGCGTTGTTTGTACCGTCAATGAACGAAATGCATTAGTAATGCCTTGCAGACATTTTTTGTTTTGTCAGCCCTGCATTCAACAAGTCCAAAAAAACAACACAACTCATTGTCCCACTTGCCGAGGACCAATAACATCTATAATTGAACCTTTTCAATGATTCAGTAAAACTTTCCCTTTTACCTATATTTTAAAAACTAAAATGTCACACAATTGTTTAAATTTATTTTAAAAAATTTATTATATAAAAGCGGTATAATTTTTTTCCTATTGCTCCGCCTGGAATAAAAAATGATCAATAACGTCATTTTTTAGTTTACATAAATGACTTTAAATTTCATTTGGGCCTACAAGATTTTCCGTAAGTTGACGTATTGTATTGGTTTCAGTTGAGCAAACCCCATATTACGCTAAGGATAAGTACTAAATAAATTCCATCACCCTAGAAACAATAGTCATGTACATGTTAAAGATTGTATAGATAAATGTTGCATAAAATTCTACAGCTGCTTGTCTAGCAAAATTAAATAAGTTTCCTTGAAGCAAGTGACAGTATCAACAAAAGACTTATCGTGTTACTATGTTACGATTAGCACTTTTGTGTGCACAAGCGTGTTAGAAGCAACTTTTTGCTTTTAACTTTTTTTAACTAGGTTTTAACTTGTCTAGCTAGCTTTTAACTTGTTTAACTAGGTTAAAACTAAGAAGAAGAAAACGAGTGCTAAAACATTTTGGGTCGGGATCATAACTTGTTACAGTCAGCAAAAAAATATATAGAAATTAAACAAAAAACTATATAATTGGAAAGAGCTCGTCAAAAAGTATGTGAAAACCATATGCTGAAAATATTTCCTTTCCAAGATATAACACCATATAGATTATATAAAACACAGACTAAGATTTTACAGACCAGCACAAAACAGCTATAAAAAAGGATTTTTCATCCTTAATTTGCTTTATAATGAATATGTATTTTTTTTAAAGAGTTGCTATTGATATAAATTTTCTATTAAAAGCTAGTTTCTATTAAATTTATCACGTCCTTACTATTGGTAGGGGTGGGGAAAGAGAGGAGATAATCGTGAGCGATTGACATCTTTTTTTTGACCAAATGCTCTTAGTTTCACGTTATAAAAATTAAATAAGATTTTCTATTCTTGACCACAATTTTCTCCGAAACGACCAACCTAACCTCAAAGTCTTTACGATATGGGCTTGTATATTTATAGAATATAATTTGCGAATAATAATCCCTCCCCCTCTATCAGAATTTGTAGTAAGGACGATTTTTTTTTTTATAAAGTAAGTGTTTAATTGTTCTTTTTGGAATTTTATGTTTTGCTTACATAAAATATAAAATATTTAGCTAACATTCAAGGCAGTGCACAGTGGGCCAGCAGTGAGCAAAAATTAAAAAAATGAGCAAAACCAACCTTTAACAATTCAAAAACTTTTAATCTTTTTTGAAAGTGAGTAACCTGAAGAAAACTTAAATGGTTGTAATATTTTGTTTTAGTAAATAGAATTATTGTTAAATTGATTTTATAATGTTAATATTGTTAAATTGATTTTATATGTAGTTATTAATTTTTGATCACTTTTTCATGTTTCTGGCCCACTGTGCAGTGGGCCTAAAATCATTTTGTTAAAAAATCACTAAAGGGCAAATGTTTCCAAGCATTTAAACAAAGGCGAACTTTTTTATTATTTCCAAAAGATGTCACTAATATTGCTAAGATACAATACGTTATCTATGATAAAAACAACATTGTTGTTGCAAATGATAAATAACATTATTTATAACTGCGTCACTTGGATTTGATTTACAGTTTAAGCGGATAAAAAAGCTTGAAAATAAGTGAAGTTTGAACTGTATTTTATGAAGTGCACCACCACTTTTGTAAAATATTATGTTCATAGTTTTGTCGTTAATATGGATTTGTGAGTTTTATCATACTTCGCTTTAACGCGTTGCAACGCGTAAAATTAAAATATGATAAAGTTCGGCAATAAAGTGACTTTTCGTTCACATTTCCATGTTAACGACAAAGCTATTTGCATGATATTTCATAAAATTGGTGGTGCACTTAATAAAATAGAGTTCAAATTTTATTTATTTAGGGTTTGAGCTATTACTGAAAAATTTTCAGAATTTTTTTTTGCTTATTGTTATAGTTTAATGTCATGGCTCCCGGCCCTAAATGAGAAAAATGTTTCTTCTTAGATTTTTACATATATTCTTGATATTTATATATGTGAATGAATCTTTACTCTGGCAGTTTGAAAAAGGTGTTTTTCTTTAACTTGAGTTAATTTTTGTAGTTTTAGCAGAGTTTTTTTTACTCTTGGCCCAATTTGCCCCAATATGAGTAAACGGGCTTTGTGTATTATTACATTTTTACCCTATTGTCCTGAATGGGCGATTGGGCCAAGAACAATCAAAGTTCTGTAGAAGAAATTAGACCTAATATTTTTACCTGTTTTCTTGTTATTTATAAATGTTAATGAATTTGTTTACCCTGACCGTTCAAAAAAACTCTATTTCTTTATCTAAAGTTAATTTTTACGGTTTAAACGAAGCTTTTATAGCTTTTGATCCAATTACTTTAAATGGGTAAGCGAGGAGTGGAATTCTTACCTAGGGGACCCTAATATGAGAATGATAATTTGTAGAATTGAATGCTTTAGTAAAAAAGAAAACAATAAAAATAATTCAGCATAAACACTTCAATGAAATTCCTTCTTGATAGCATATGAAAAAAAAATTTATTATCAAAATTTAGTGCCATAGTTCCTTAAGAAAAACTCAAAAAATCTTGACGCGAAATAGGCGTTATTGAGCCCAACATAGATTTTCATAACTTGGGAACCAGTTATCCAAATTTAAAAAATGAACACATTCTGAAAGCTTCTTCACTATCCGCATATAATGGTATTAATTATAACAAGAGATAATTGTAATAGTAAAATCGTTTGATGTGCCTACTGTAAATAAAATCAATACAACATTCAATAATTTTTGTTCTACTAATAGAGCTTTTTGTTTATATTATACAATTATACAGTGTAATTACTACACTTTAATTAAAAACCGCAAAAAACCGCAAACAACTGTCGTCTATTTATTCTGCTTTCGGAATTTTCAAACCTATTATTAAAATTCACCTTTTCGATATTATTCTGGAAAGTCCTTTTTCGATTTTATTCCTTTTTTCACAGTTTCGATATAATTCCAGAAAGTCCCGTTTCGATATTGTTCCTTTTTTTACAATTTCGATCCAATTCCGTTTTTTGAAAATTCGATACTATTCCTTTATTCACACTTTCGATATTGTTCTGGTAAGTCTTTTTTCAATATTAATCTCTTTTGAGCTGTTTTGAGATTATTCTGCTTTTAGGATTTTCGATACTAATCCTTTTTTAACAAATTTGAAACGTTTTCTTTTTCGATATTATTCCGAAAAGTCTCTTTTCGATATTATTCCTTTTTTTTACAATTTCTAGGTTATTCTATTTTTCGGATTTTCGATGCAATTCCTTTTTTTACAATTTCGATGTTATTCTCTATTACGATGTTATTCTGGAAATTCCATTTTCGAGATTAATCAGTTTGGCTGTTTTCGATACTGTTACTGCTACCCGATTTAATATTCATACCACTTCTCTTTCTCGTTTATAGGAACAACTTACATAATTGTTCTAATATTTTAAGTTCCCTTTTGTTAGCTTACCCTAATACCCTAAAACTGATTGGGATTCTTTTCGTGATTTTCTTTCTGATGGACCTTGGGTTGATGTCTTTTTTCTTTCAGCTGATAAATGCACCGCCCTACGTAACCTCCTAAATTCAGTTAAGAAAAAAGCTTTTATTCCTTCTTGTCAGTTCTACACCAAGCCTCATTCTACTCCATGGTTTTCACCTTCTTGTGCAGCTACTGTATCTAATTGTAATCATTTTTTTTAATCTTTTTCAAAAGAACAACTCTCTTAAGAACAAACGGCTATTTATTATGCAAGAAATCAATCTAAAAAGGTGCTGTCTGATGAAAAGCTCCATTATTCTCAGTTCACTATAACTCGTATTTTATCTCAGAAATTAGGCAATATAAACTTTTGGAAAACCTTTAACAGCGTTATTAACAAGGGTAGATCTAACGTTCCATCTCTCATTCATAAAAGTGATTAACTTTTTTCTAACTTGAATCTTGAATCTTATGACCAGTCTATTCTTTCCATTCCAATTATTTATTTTCGGACATTCAAATCACTCTAGCTTTTCGTTGCTAAAGTCAT